AGAAACTCATGTAATTGCTTCTCCTTGATCTGGTTTTTTATATAGAATGGTTTGGGTTGAAAGGAACATTAAAGCTCATCCAGCTCCAACCCTCTGAAATGGCCAGGGACACCTTCCATTAGAGAAGCTTGCTCCAAGCCCCTGTGTCCAACCTGGCCTTGAACACTGCCAGGGATGGGGCAACCACAGCTTCTCTGGGCACCCTGTGCCAGCGCCTCAGCACCCTCACAGGGAAGAGCTTCTGCCTAAGAGCTCAGCTCAGTCTCCCCTCGGGCAGGTTCAAGCCATTCCCCTTGGCCTGTCCCTACAGGCCCTTGTCCCAAGCCCCTCTCCAGTTTTCCTGCAGCCCCTTTAGGCACTGGAGCTGCTCTCAGGTCTCCCCTTCAGGAGCCTTCTCCAGGCTGCCCCAGCCCAGCTCTCTCAGCCTGGCTCCAGAGCAGAGCTGCTCCAGCCCTCGCAGCATCTCCATGGCCTCCTCTGGCCTCGCTCCAACAGCTCCACGTCCCTCTTGTGCTGCTGCCCCAGAGCTGGATCAGGGCTGCAGGGGGGGGTCTCCCCAGAGTGCAGCAGAGGGGCAGGATCCCCTCCCTGAGCTGCTGCTCACGCTCTGGGCGTGCAGCCCAGCACATGGGGGGGTTCTGGGCTCAAGCGCTCACTGAAGCCGGGTCATGGGGAGCTTGTAATCACCCAACACCCCAAGTCCTTCTCCTCACCCAACACCCCAAGTCCTTCTCCTCAGGCTGCTTCATCCAGTCTCCCCAAGCCTGTGTTTGTGCTGGGGATTGCCCTGACCCAGGAGCAGGACCTTGCACTTGACTTGGTTGAACTCCACGAGGTTCACATGGTCCCACATCTCTGGCCTGTCCGGGTATTTCTGGATCCCATCCATTGACTCTCCACCGTGTCAACTGCACCACACAGCTTGGTGCCATTGGTGAACTTGCTGTGGGTGCTCTATCCCGCTGTCCATGTCACTGACAAAGATGTTGAACAGGATTGGTAATAGTACTGACCTCTGATGGACAACACTCGTTACCAGTTTCCTTTTGGACCCTGAGCTGCTGACCACAACTCTTTGAGTGCAACCATCCAGCCAATTCCTCATCCACAGAGTTGTTCATCTTCAAATCCATGCCTCTCCAGCTTAGAGACAAGGATGTCATGTGGGTTGGTGTCAAATGCCTTTCACAAGTCTTGGTAGATGATTCTATGATTCAGTGTTTTTAATATCAGTCTTCTCCTGCAGGAGAAGGTAAATTTTATGGTTCAGCTAGCAATATATGGCCAGTGAGGGTATGTGGCAGATGACCTTAAATGCACAGGAGTCCAAGCAGGACACGTGACGTTTTGGGTCAGCAGCTGTAACACTGATTTAGCAAAGTCACAGCAGAATGGGCTGCTTTGTCTTCAGCAACGTTCAGAAGGCAAATGGAGGCTCTGGAAGCAAAAGATGTTTCTCTTCAGTGCCAGGATGATGCTCTGCTTACCAGCTCATAGTCCCTTCTCTCACTTCTTCGGCAGGAAACAAAAGTTGATTTGCACTGGTTAGGACAATATCCTTTGCTACCCTATGTAGAAGTCAAGGTGGAGATGGTGGTATCATGTAACAATATAGAAAATTGACTTTCTGGCCTCTCAAGCCACTGCAATTTGGAGACCTAGTGAAGGCTAATGGATTGGTTTTGGCAGGTTTCTCTATTATTTTTGTCTGTCACTGCCATACTGGGGGAAAAAGTACACTGTTCTCATTAAAGAGAGTTTCAAGCCTGAAACACTAGTGTAATTGCCTGGGAGCCCAGGCTGAGAGCATGGTGTCCATCATTTTAAAGCAGAAGCAAGGAGTGTGTGTACGCTGGTGGGCACTTGGCCTTTAACTTTCAAACCTCACCAATGGCTCTGATCAGTTCCTGCAAGGTCCAAGTCTCATTCTGCCACACATATACACACCATATCAGATAAGAGAGAGACAGAAAAGCACTGTATGCTGATTTCAAGATGTTAAACCCAGATGCAATGTCACCAAACACTTACTGACGGGGTTAGACTTTCTTCTGAGGTGCCTGAGTGATGCCTCTTGCCAACTTAATCGAAGTCAGTGGGGACTTTAGGCCATCTAAACTCACAGTAAGTTTAGCACTCAGGTTTTTGTGCGTTTTATACCCATTTCTGTCAAAGCCATGACCATCTCAACTTGCTATATACTGAGTGATCAGAAGAGGGCAGTCCTTCCCCTCAGTACTTGCTCTGCTTTAGGCTTTGATTGAGTCTCAAACCCACAAATTTGGTGTTGTAGATATGTGCTGATACAGTTACACTGGTGGAAATGGACTATTATAGAATATCTGTGAGGACTACTCTAGTTCTCAGCCCCCTGCTGGATAATCAGACAAAACAAGACAGGACAACAAACCATTTGAGCATCATGAAGAAAATTAATTGGTTACTTCTGTGATTAAAAGAGGAACATTAAAGACATAAGGTTTCTCTCCTGAGCCTAAACTGCCAGCCTCAGTTCAGGCCCCGTGTCCTTCTGTTCTTCCATCAGCACAGCTAAAGAGCTAAGCCTCCTGAGAAGTTCCAGGGTTTAAAGGGTGGCTACAAAGAAGACAGACTCCCTTTTTATAAGGAGCCCCATGGAAAAGACAAGGGGTGATGGGCACAAATTACTCCTGGGGAGATTCCAACTGGACATAAAAGGAAAATTTTCACACTAAGAACAATCAGATTATTCTTATGAGGAGAATAATCTCCCCAGGGAAGTGGTGGGTTCCCCAGTGCTGGACACTGTTAAGATTGGGCTGGACAGGGTGCTGGAACATCTAGTCTAGGTCATGCTTTGCCTAGAAAGGATTCTGTGATTGTACAAACTATAAGAAACAGGATGTTAAGGAAGATGGTTCAGTAGGTCAGAGGTAGGGTGCTGTAGATAATCTCTGGAATAAAGCTCCTCATTACGAGGATGGTGTAGGAAAGGTCACTGTGTGTCTGCACCAGATATGAGAGCTGTGAGCTCAGCACATACAAACCTATCTGGGTTTAACACAACTAATAGAACTAGCAGCAATGGAGAAGAGGAAGAGGTTTACCCTGATTCCCAGCAGAAAATTTATGAGGGGATTAAGGCACCAAAAAGGCTACGGCTTCCCCCTGTGAAGGCTGCTGCTTGTGGTACCTGCCCTCAGTGGTAAAACAGCCTTTCCTTTACAATGCACTTACTTCTGGCCCTGCCACAGTTGGCAGACTACCTCCAGTACAGTTAAAGATTGTATATAAGGAGGAAATTCTTTCCTGTTAGGGTGGTGAGGCACTGGAATAGGTTGCCCAGGGAGGTTGTGAATGCTCCATCCCTGGCAGTGTTCAAGGCCAGGTTGGAGACGAGGCCTTGGGTAATATGGTTTAGAGCGAGGTGTCCCTGCCCACGGCAGGGGGGTTGGAACTTGATGATCTTAAGGTCCTTTCCAACCCTAAGTATTCTATGATTCTAAATCTGTGCAAACTGCAACCGTATCTTCTACTTACTGTGTGGGTGTATTAATGGAGCAAAAATGAGGAGGGAGGGAATGGTCTTTGGTCAGCAGAAGTAAGGTAGGGTGACACAGTGTTGAAGATAGACTGAGGAAACTGGAAATTGAAGGAAGCAGAGGAAGAGCCAGAAAAGCAAGATAAAGTACCACCTGGTTGTGTCGCCATGTCCCTGGCTGTTCAAGGAGCTCAGCAGTGTAGAAGCAGCTGAAGATCTGAGGTGAAATGGTTCACCAGCCTAAAAATATCAAAAGCAGGGAAAGTAAAACTTAAAAGCAGCAAATGCCAGACTATTGTTAACCTACGAGAGTTACTAAGGGATTAATCAGAACTAGTTTGGGAAGGGACTTGTATCCACATAAGCCAAAGCTCCCTAACTGGGAAGACTTACAGACACATATGGACATGCTTAAAGAACATCATCCCCAATAGGCACAGATTTAACAGTGCTACAAAATGTCCCCAGGAACTGGAGCTTTGTCACCTACACTGTTCAACTATTAGAACAACCCCAGGCATAGCTCTGGATCAGACCAGCTAGCATTTTCCTAAACAACTGCTGGAGACAGTGTGGGAATTAGCATGCTATGCCCAAAGTGCAGTCTGCACATAACATTGATTCAGATTGTAAAACACTTTTATAGCATGGATGTGGGATGTTCCCATGTGAGCTGGTCTCAGAGCCAGAGAATATTCTGGACATATTTGATCATAAAAATGCTACATGAGTGATTTTAAGCAGAACAACTTTAAAAGATAGAACAAAATTACTAGGCAGAAGTAGAATCAAATAATGGAAACAGCATAAAGACAGTTAGCAGTGTTGTTGCTCTAAAGATATAAGAGAGACAATGTGCGTGGGGAGAACAGTATCTTCTAGTGGGATCAGTTTAATAAAAGATACCATTTTTCTTCACAAGCCTTGCCTTGAGGTAGCAATCATTTTTACTGCCTAGTTCCGGCTATAGTCTCACAATGTAAATGAGAAGAGTCAGTAGAGTCATCTCTCCATCTGAGGATTAGTTTAACCATGAAGTTAACAACTGGCACTTTTTAACAGAAATACAGTGGAAAGTGAAGGTGCCAGTTTTTATCTTCCTGAGAGATGGCTTGTCTGCTAGTCTGCACTGTAAAAAAGTCCAAGATTGAAGGCAGATAAAAAAGCAACATGACTGCTTAAATATTTGTTTGCTCAGTAGCTATATATAAATATATATAATTACATTATAAATATATTTATAGAAGTGACAGTGCAGGTGTTGAGGCAGTGCTGTAGAAGAAAAGAGCCTTGGATCTCTAGAACAGAGAAGTTTGGGGTTTGTTTTTTTTGGGGGGGGGGTTAGTTTACATTAAGAATCGGTGATATAAAAAACACGAAAATACTGAGTCCAGCTCTGGTGACTTTGCTTTAAATAAGATATTTTTAAAACAGGGAATGTTACAGAAAACAGACACAAAATCATCTCAAGGATAGGAACCAAAAATCTTCTGTTTAATTTGTCTGACTGGGTTACAATCAATACGGTTTATCACAAGGAAAATGAAACAGGAAGTATCTGACTGTCATTTAGCACAGGGAGACAGAACAGCAGCACATGATCAAAAGCCCAGGAAAGCTCAGACCAGAGTATGGTTTTAGGAGAGTGGAAGTGAATTAAGAGAACCACCTTGATGTACAACCTTGAAACTAATGTTTGAGAGATGCATTTTACTTTGGCACTGAACAAGGACCCCAGTAAAGTGCAGTGGCCTGTGGGAAATCTGCTGTTACAATCAAAGAGGCTCCTGTTGTATCAAGAGTTCCTGAATGAATTTGTGCCCTGTAGTAGGTGAGCTGTGCCACTGCTTGAGGCTGCTCCCATACAGCCCAGAGCCATCACAGTTGGCTTTATGGAGCTGAGGAATGCCAAAGGCTCCCAGTTGTTCTCTTGGCAACAGCAAAGCAACAACATCATGAGTGCCAAAAGAAAATCCTCTGTGCTGAGCACCAAATATGGTGATAAAAGTCCTCAGGAAGAAGAAGAAATTACAACTTCTCTGCTTCTGTACCACAGGCAGTTGCTGGAAGTGACTAGAAACATGCACTCAGTGGTTACGGAGTAGCATGAGATGTACAATGGACAAAATGTAAGGAACTCCCCTCCTACCCTAGGACAAGCCAAGTCTGCATTACCTGACAGTAGGCTGAGCATTACCATGACACATGGCTCCGTGGCGCAAGACCAGGGTTATGTTAAGGTATGAAGGATGGACCATGCTTCCTCTTCACAACAACCTGTAGCTTGGAGAACGCTTGGTGGCTTGGAGTCTGGCTTCACGAATGAGCGTGCTGGACATCAGAGAGCTGCTGGGAGAAAACAACAGTGCAGAACTAGTGGGTGTTCTGTCTAGAAACCAAAGTTCTCCCTCATTAAAGGATGCTGCTGTGAGTTCCAGACCTTGCAGCCCTGTCTAATCCTGTTCCCTGGGGTGGAGGTTTTTCTCTTCTGGGATTAATTACAACACAGCTTTCAACAGATTGTTTCACAAAGAAGTGTTTTGCAATAAACTGCAACAAGTCATTAACTGTTGCAGTTAATGATACAGATATATCGGTTAAGAGCCGCGATCTGTCTGAAATGACATGGGTTTACATGTCATTAACTGTTGCAGTTAATGATATAGATATATCGGGTAAGAGCTGCGATCTGTCTGAAATGACATGGGTTTACATGTCATTAACTGTTGCAGTTAATGATATAGATATATTGGCTAAAATCCTCGATCTGTCTGAAATGATATGGGTTTACAGCAACACCAAATTCATCCTATTCAGAGATGAGCTCTGGCATGTTTAAATGCCTTTGATTTGAGCTATTTTTAACCACTCATGGTTAAAAAAAGTCACGACCTTGTGTGTTATTTTATCCATCTCCTTTGTTTATAGGTGCAGCACCACGTTATTCAGAGATGTTTCAAAGCCATCAGTCATGCTGACAGGGGGAAAGCAGAACAATGAGCACTTCATGACAGGCCTCAAAATCACAATTAGTAGAGGAGGTTTTGATTAAGTGGATTCATATAGGCATTGTTGGTTACCATAGCAACACTGCTTCTTTTAACTGCACAGTTCTACATCTCACAATTTAAATCATGTTAAGGGCCAGCAGAAAATTAAAACCCTCAATATTTGCAATACTGGAAAACAGAGAATCAATGAAACCCAGACTGGTTTGTGATGGAAGGGAGCTGAAAGCTCATCCAGCTCCAATCCCTGCCACGGGCAGGGACACCTTCCACTAGAGCAGCTTGCTCCAAGCCCCTGTGTCCAACCTGGCCTTGAACACTGCCAGGGATGGGGCAGCCACAGCTTCTCTGGGCACCCTGTGCCAGCGCCTCAGCACCCTCACAGGGAAGAGCTTCTGCCTAAGAGCTCAGCTCAGGCTCCCCTGTTCTGGCAGGTTCAAGCCATTCCCCTTGGCCTGTCCCTACAGGCCCTTGTCCCAAGCCCCTCTCCAGGTTTCCTGCAGCCCCTTTAGGCACTGGACCTGCTCTAAGGTCTCCCCTTCAGGAGCCTTCTCTTCTCCAGGCTGCCCCAGCCCAGCTCTCTCAGCCTGGCTCCAGAGCAGAGCTGCTCCAGCCCTCGCAGCATCTCCATGGCCTCCTCTGGCCTCGCTCCAACAGCTCCACGTCCCTCTTGTGCTGCTGCCCCAGAGCTGGATCAGGACTGCAGGGGGGTCTCCCCAGAGTACAGCAAAGGGGCAGGATCACTTCCCTGAGCTGGTGCTCACGCTCTGGGGGTGCAGCCCAGCACACGGGGGCGTTCTGAACTCACTGCACACGGGTCATGGGGAGCTCCGCAGCCGCGGTCCCGCCGTACCAATGTCCCGTCCGCCATGAGACCCCCCTAACCCTCACCGTCCCCTCAGTGCACGGCCCTCGCACAGCCCCGTCCCTCCGCGCTGATTCGCTGTCGCTCCCGCCTCATTAACATATCACAGGCCGTGCCTTGTCGCGGTTTCCCTTGTGTCAGGGCGGGAAAGGCAGTTGATTGGCTGAGCGCGGCCATGGGCGGGCTAGCGGGCTTCCCTCTCATTGGCTGCTCGGTGCTGTCGGTCACGGGTGACGCCCCGCCCTCCGGGGTGTCCCTCGCCGGCGCCTCCTTGTCCGTCTCATTCAGTGGTGGGCTCCGCGGCGGACGGAGCTCTGGCGGTGGGAGTTGCTGGGGCACAATAGACACAGGTCCTCGGCCAGCATCGCTCGGCAGGCAGCAGCCGCAGCAGCAGGAGGAGGTAGATCCCGTTCTGGTAACAATCTTACGATTGCAATGGCGTACAAAAGGCCTCTTTTTACAACCCGTGTCTCGGGGTGTTTTCTACAGAGCCTCGACCCTCGCTGCCTGTCCTCCCGCTGAAACCTCTCCCCCGGCCCAGTACCCTGCGTGCCGCCAGGGTGAGGAGAGGCCGTTCGCTTCGCGTCCCGCCGAGCAGTAGCCGAAGGTGTGCGGTGGGCAGGGCCGGGGCGGCACCGGGGCCAGCGGGGCCCGGGCGTGTGGCCAGCCCCCTCCCACCCTGAGGGGGCACGAGGCCCGGTGGGGCGCAGGGAGTTCCGCGCCCCTCGGTCCGGTCCCCTGCGGCCCCCTAAGTCGCACCAACCCCCCTCTGTGTTCGCTGTGAGGCCCTGGGGCTCGGCCTGTTGTAGGGACCCCCCTACCCCGGGGCCCGCTCCCCCCGCCGCGGCCCGCTCCCTGGTTCCGGCCGGCTCCGGCGGCAGGTGGAAACCGAAAGAAGCCAAAGTGGGTGTTTTGCGGCGGGGGAAACAGGAGGCTGCGTGGCCTGGGCCGTGCAGCGGTGCGTGTTTACCAGCTGTCAGAGCGGTGACAAACGCAGCTGCCGCCCTTCAGGAACAGCCCCCATCGCTGGAGGCTGCTCCTCGGGTCAGCGTTGGGGATGCTCCTCAGACCCCTTCATCCAGGGTGAGGCTGCTTTTCCAGCTATTTAGTGTTGGCCAATGGTCCCCATGCCGGCAGCGAAGTTTTACGGCACGTCCCTAAATACTAGAGAGTAAATGTTGGGCAGTAGCGGAGCTGCTGTTGGAAGAGGAAATGCTTGTCAGGCTGCCGGTATTTTTAGAGCAGACCTCGGGGTTTGCCTCTTGGTCACAAGAAGCAGCAGTGGCTGTTTGAAGTGCCACCGCCACAGGTCCCACGTCTGTCTTGGCCTCTGAGCCACAGCGGCTTCTCACGGTGCTGGTGTCCCAGCACCTTGGTGTGTTATGCCATGGCACGTTATCTCCCTGTTGATTGGAGAAACCCCAAAACTTTGTTGACAAACAGCTGATTAAAAGGGACGATCTTGCAGCCAAGAAAGCTGTTGATTTGGTATCTTCGTGGTTTTAATTAAAAAATGTTAGTAGTGAACTGCAGAGAGAAATTTTCTGTGTAAGAGTATATGCACATGCCTGATTTTGCTAGGCAGAGTAAGAAACCCTGTAAGCAGCCCACTGTGTATGTGCAGCCAGCAGTGTTGAACATGATGCTGGCCCTATAAGGTCTGTAGAAATTTGGTCTGAGCAAGTCTTTTCAAGCGAAACTGTGTGTTACAGTCCCAGGACACAACTTCTGCTCATCCTGTGTGGTAGTTTTCTGAGTCAGCAGCGTCAGTGCAGGCAAGATCTGAAGCTTTTCCTTCTGCAGGCTGGGGAAGAAGCTGTCAAAACGCGTGGTAGTGTGCTGTGCGTGAGTGAGCACTAACTGAATCTTCAGCTTTACTACTGGTGGCATCACAGAAGGGCTTTGCTGTTACCTGTGCTGGTAACTTTGTGTATGGGTCATTTTCAGATTCTTCTGTGATTTAAACAGGACTTCCTTTCTTTACAGTCCTTAACTATAGTGGACACCAAGGTTTGTAAGTGGTTGGCTTACATACATACTTAACCTGATGGGCACTGAATTAGCCAGCAGCTGCTTCTCTGTGCGTATTGCTGAGCTGTTCTCCAAGGAAGTATTTCTTGTGCAGCAGTTTTTCAATACATTCTTGTGTCTTTCTCAGCTTATCTGCAGAAAAATACATATTTTTGATCTGAATAGAGCTCTGATACAGAGATATATAGGTTCTCAGGAATAAAGCAACAAAGCCTTTCTGTTTATTTCTGCAGTGTTTCAGAGGATTCTGCAGGATAAAGCCTTTGTCCTACAGAGATGCACCTATGCTTACAACACGTTGCCCCTCCAGTTAGACAAATGGGATAAAATCAAGAATGTGAAGTCATCTTCTTGTCAGGGAAGGCTGAAAATACTGCTGCTGCAGTTTCCACAGCACAGGATAATGGACTTTCTGGTGCTTAAGTAAAATGTTTAGGTCAGATCCATTAATGTATAAAAAAACAATAGCTCTCTGATGTTGTATTGTAAGAGCTTTTATGAACCAAGACTCCAATAACAAGCAACTCAGCCCTAGATAAAGTAATTCAGAGAGCACAGGCTGTTTTTGCAAAGGTGTTCTGAAATGATTCTCTTTTGAATTCACCTAAGTGTGCTTTATTTGCTGAATATTTCAAGCCTCGAGTTGTGAACTTACTTGCTCTGCATACATGCTTCACATCTAACTTTTCTCCTTATTGAAATGATTGCCTCAGAATAAGAAGGAAAAAAGTTTCAATATGTTAAACTCTGCTTCCAAAAGGACCCACTTAATGCTACCAAACCTTTTCTTAGTAACATCTTCCCATATGATTATTCATTTTAATCTGCAGATCTCACAGTATATTATAAATGTTCTTTAGAATGGCAGCTCAGGGCTTTGCTGGAAGGAACACAAAACATTACTGCCACCATTTTCTGTTAACTTTCCCCAGTGGTGTCTGACGAGCTCAGGGAATCGGAGGTGCCGAGTTGCTGTGAGGAACTGCATGGCCCCGCCTCATCTCTCTGCTCCTTCCTCCTCACATGTACATGCTTCTGCTGTGAAACGGAGTGCCCTCTTCCCCTTGATCCACAAAGAAGAGTGCAGGAAAAGCTGCTTTCTTTAAGTAAAAGTATCACTGGGAAGCACATTTATTGTTGATGGTTGCATAATGTAATAATTTTAGACTGCTTTATCATTACTGAAGTGATGAAGCCAGGTAGTGTGTGCCTGTTTTGTGTCATGCTTGGGTAGGCAAGGGTTTTCTGTTTGTTAAAAAGAGTAAGAGTGAGAGGACAGAGTGCAGTGGCACATCCACAGCAGACCCACTGCATAGACTGCGGCAGGTGTATAAGAGAAAATGTTTGTTGGCCCTAGAGCAGTGGTGCTTAAAACCAAAAACTGAGGCCAGAAAGATTGGAAACACTTTGGGGTCTGTAGGGTCTTGAACTAACAATTCCAACAAGTATTACCAAGAACAAGTTCCTGTTAACACACAAGTCTTGGTAACTTTTGTACATGGAGGAAAGATCAGAACTGTTCATTTATACAGAATTTCAGGAATACTTGAAACCTATTTATGTTTAGCCATGCTTCAGACTGAAGGATGACTGCGGACTCATCAAGTGCAAGTTGTTGTCCATTCATCTGCATTAAGGTATAATCCACATAACAGGCAGCTTGCACAGTAATTGAAGCAAACTTTGCTTTAATTGATGCTGAGCTTCCTGACTCTCTGAGCAATGTAATTGCACCTTTTAAAAGTATTATGAACCTTTCCCTTAAAAGTAGCTTTTGCAATTTAACAAATCCATAATTGCAGCAGCAAAACATTTGCTCCTAGATAAGGGCACTTGTGCAGTATTGGTAATTAGTTTGACCTGGCCAGATGCCTCCTGATAAGGCACAGCAGAGAGCTGTCATCTGTTATACTTAAGAATTTAATTCTCTTAAATTGTAGCACAGCATGTACATAGTAATAAGTCAGAAATTACCAATTGAATTGGATTAGGTTTAGTGGTACACTGTGGTCTCATCTAGTCCATACCACTGAGAGAAGAAAACAAGTCCTTGTTCTGGTTATGCTGACACATGATTTAGCTGGCTTTTATTCCCCTTTCAATTCCTCTGCTTTCTTTGCAGACATTGCACAACCTCTGCCCTCTGTGGATGTTTTCACATCATTGCAACCCTCACTTTCCCTCAGTTGACATCCTTCCCCTTCTCTATCAGCCTCTGCTATCAAAGTCAATATTCCTTTTTCGTATGGATAAAGTACCACCATCTCAAGCCTGGCCACTCTTGTACAAAACCATCATAAACCATTTAAAAACAAAGAAGCATGACTCAACTTCTTCATCTTCTTGAAACCAGGTATCAGTTTGGGGACTGTTCCTCCAGACTTGTCCTTGCAGCTTGCTGCCTGCCCAAAGTGTTTCCCAGAAACAGGGCTGGCAATATAAGCCACTGGACATGAGGCTTTGTGTCCTTTCTTTCTTTCCCATTAAGTCAGGGGAGAAGTGGTGCTGCCCAGGGCAGCTTATTTGTTGTCAGTCAGACCATGCTGCATTTAAAGGGGTTTTATTGTCTGATGGCATCTTCCGTGTGAGAAGCTCTATCCCAAGCTTCTAGTATGAGCTGGTTTTTATGGCTACCTCAGTGCTCCATCTGGCTTAAACTGTCTGTGAGCAGAGCCAGCCTGGGAGCTCTGTTTTAAGGAGCGGTAAACCATTGGCAACATGTATGGATGTAGACTTGATTTTTAATCTTTAGGGTTTCTGTACATGTGTTCTTGAGGAGGAATTAGGGCTTGTGACGAAGGAGGATGTGGGCATAGGGGTGGCTTGTTCTTGCCAGGCTGGTGGCCAGCATTGCTGGGAGGAGGTGGTGAGTCATGGAGGGCCGTGGCCACACTGGCAAAGCACAGAGCTCTTGGCACCTCTACAGAGGAATGTGGACCAGGGATGGGGGAAGATGCTTGTGTTGTGGTTTCAGAGTAAGTCATGTTAATGTGAGTTTTGGAGGCAGGTTCTTGCTGAAACATGTTTAAAAGTCTACAGCAAATGGAGTTTGAGGAGATGTGCAATATGGAAGGTGAAACAAATAAGAAACAATTAAAAGAGCAAGAGAAGGAGAGCTCAGGAGTGAGTAACCAGTCAGGTTTTATGCTGGATATAAATTAACTGGGATTTTATCTCTTGGATCTAAACAAAAGGACAGAGTTGAAAATGAATCCTGATTCTCCCACTTGCTTTATGTATCTAAGATACCTCCACCAAGGGAATAATTTTAGGTACACCTCAGAGGAGAGGAGTAAGTCTTCTGTCTCTCAGAAGAGAAGAAAGTAACATCTCTAAGATTTGAATCACACCCCTGAAAAGTCTCTTTTTGTCTTGTTGATTAGAGAAGTAATTGATCAAGTTGGGAGACATCTGGGCCACAATCTTGCTTGTTTCTTAAATGCCTATTAGTTGCAATGAAGTGATTTAGATTTAATTAGAGTAAGATAAGGTGGGGTGTTTGGCTTACATTTCAATTTCTTGTTTAAGGTGTTTGCACACGATAGACTGAAGTCACCCAAACACCACATGGATGGGATGCGGGCTGAGGTTTGCTGTGACTCTCACCACAGATCGTTTTTAGCCTCGTGTGTGAGGAGATGGGCGCACAAGTGTATAATGATGGCAAATGAGCAATTGGGATTAAAACAAGTTAGGACTGAATTTGCCATTCCTAAAGGCTGGTTGTTTTGCAGGATGAAATCCATTTTGCTGATCTGTGGTTGGTTTCCAGATGCCCTGAGTTCTGGCATATGAGCTGTGTTTAGCCCACCACTAGCTGGTTTAGGGAGGAATCAACAAGCAATATGTGTTTGCAGTGCTGGAAGGCTCCCATTCTTCCTCTCTCCAAGTAAATTTATATTCTTTTCCATGAAACAGCTGAACATGTGGGTTTTGAGTGGAACTTCTTTCCAACAGCAAGGCTTAAACAAGCAAACAGGATGAGAGAAAGGGATCCTTCTGAATGTCAGTGCTGCTTTATCATGGGTAGAAGAGAAACTTGGGAGTAACTGCTGATGAAAAATATTAAATGTTTTCATGTTCTTTTACTGCTTGGAAAGATTTTGAAGAAAATCCTCAGATTGTAACTTGTAAGATCAGCCTGCCGTCTTAAAAGCTGATTATGTGTAAATTTAATTATAGAGAGGTCTTCTGAAGTATTCAGGCTATATTTAAGATAATGAAGTTTTGTTCCTTAATCTAATTTTGGCTTCCATCTGGACGAAATTAAAAATCCAAATCATGCATCATTTCAGTACATAAAAATGTCTCGTAACCTGCTTTACTGTCCTATCCTGTGTCTTGGACATAAACAAATAGCTGGGTCAGGGGGTTGTGGAGCATGGGATGCAGGGGTCCCATGCCATGCTGATCTGGATCTCTGCCTTGCTGTCTATAAGCCTGATGCTTAAGGGATATTTATTTTATTAGACAAACATATCCTTTATTGAAAAGGATATATTCCTTCTTAAAATAGCTTTTTATTTTAGGTTTGGAATTTTAAAAAAATCTTAAGCATGGAGTGCTGAGTTCAGTGAATTTCTGACCATTTTAATTCTACATTTGCTCTAGTTTTCATATGCTAACAGACATAGTTTCTTTCTTTTCTGCTATCCAGATGACAAGATTTCATGGTTGGAGAAACTCAGTTTAAGTCTTCCTGCTGTACTAGCCCAAGTCATTCTGTCCTCCCTGGTATTTGTACTGGTGCCAGTTTCATGGGTCACCACAGAAGGTTAATATTTGCTAATGGCAATTTGCTCTGGGTTTATGGTGCTATAAGACCATACTTACTGAATGCTACCTGATTGCAGCCCACAGCATAATGCTAGCTCACATCAGTGTCCCTGTGTATTCTCTCCACTCACTCATGTGCTCTTGTTGCTGTAAAGACTCCCTTTCTTTTCTTTTCCGTGCTGCCACAAGGCAATTTTGTGTTATTATCACAGTGTTAAGAGCAAAGACTCTTATCTAGCATGTTCCTATTCCTTTTACAACAGATGGCCTACAAATATGACATCAGTTCTGCTGCCTCTGCATCTGAATGGTTTTCTTTTCCTTTTTCCAGGTGCAGTATAAGAGGAAAGATGTTTTCCCGACTGAGAGCCGCTACCACTCCCTGTGCAATGGCATGTCGCAGCGTGCACACGAAAGAGAAGGGCAAGCCACTGATGTTGAACCCAAGAACAAACAAGGTTGGTTCTGTATGGTTATCAAATACCTTATCTTCATTCGGTAATTGTCCAGTGGAGCTTGGTCCAGGGTTAAACCACCTCCTGGAGGTGTACTGGGACACAGCCAAAAAAGGGTACAGAAGACAGAGGAGTCAGCGATCATTTCAGGTTTACTACCTGGACGCCTACAGTACAAGGACATCCAATAACACCACCTGCTTCTATCAACTTGCGCCTCCCCTTGTTTGCTATCGTTTACACGATCAGTACTGCTCCTTCTTGTGCCAAATGAAGAGTTGCTGATTCTTGCTGATTACTGGCTTAGGTTTTGGGGCTGGTTGAATTCAAGTAAAGCTTTAGCAGTTAAAGAGACTTATTTCATAGTCTACAAAAGTTAATTCTGAATTCAGTCTTGCTTGTGATAGAAAGTGTTACCCTCTTTGTCTTAGTCCTTGCTTTTTTCTGCAAGACTGTGACTTGGGACTGAGCCATATGAATAAGAAGCATCCCTGTGCAGAGAGTTGGACTGAAACCATCTAAAAATAAACCTTGAATAGAGCTGGGAGGTAGAGATGTTAATTCTCTGCATGGGGAGGAGCTTCTCCTAAGAAAGTAACTTTTTTTTTTTTTTCACCCTTCACAAAAGATTTCCTGTTTCCACAAACCCATTCCTAATCTCTTTGTTTTTTTTCCTGTAGTAGTAGCCTTCAGGAATCTTCAGGAATGTGCAAACTAAAACTAATAAGAAATGAGATGAGAGCTTTTGGTAGCTCATCCAAGATGTTCAAAGTAGCCAACAAAAGTGACAAAGCTAGCTTCCTCTGGCAGGGTATTTCCTGAGCAATGGAGCTATGGAAGCTGAACTTCCATAGTTCTGTCTTGTGTTAGTAATATCTCCTTTTTTCCCCTTCCCCATTCTCTGATTTTTATTCCCCTCCGCTTTCCTTTAATGCATCATATTTCCCCTTCACTGTTAACTTTCTTCCCTTCCTTTTCTGCCCATGGCCCTGACTCCTCCTATCCCCTTGTGCTCTTAGCTCCATCCCATGCCCTGTTTGCCTGCATGCAAAGAAGCATGTGCTGCTATAAGCTGGCCAGCTGGCAAGCCAAACACATAACCCCAAGCCTCTCAGCAGAAGGTCTAGGCTGGCTCTTTCCCCTGCATGGCAAACCTTTTTGGTCCCTCTCCTGTCCCTGCCTCTCTTTTTGTCAGAATTAGATGTTGGCCAGTGGGCTCAAAATATCCATGGAGAATATTAAGCTAGAAACTGAAGGCTGTATCTCCCTGTGTTCTGCCTTTAACTACAGGGAGAATTGCTCCAGTGTGCCTTTTGGCAAGCATGATTCCTAAGTGTCCTCAAGAAGAGAAGAGGACAACGTGTAGACCTGCAGTCATGTTTCTTTCTGTTCCTTGTGTGACGTGCTTAGATACTGCATGAATGCAGGTTGTCTGTAGAGAGCATGAGCTGTAGAGGTTAGAGACTGGCTGACTGCAGAAGTGAAATAGGGTTTGCCGTGTCAGGGAAGGAAAACAAGAGCAGATTGGTGTGATTTGTCAAGATCAGATTATCCTGAGTCTTTTCTGAACTATAAACACTTTGACATGCCCTGTAAGCGTTTCCAAGGCTGATTATGCAACAGTATTCAGAAACAAGAACAATAGGTCATTTCTTACTGTTTTTATAGTGGTGATATTATTTTAATTTTTATTACTCTTTTTTTGAGCCTGGAATTCTCTGGTGAACTGAGGACATTGCAGTATTTATGGTTTGGGTCTTTTTGAGGAGGAACAGGGAAGATCAGAGAGCTGCTGACTAACAGCAGTTTAGTTTTCTTGACTTCTGAATGTCTCCAAGAAATATTACTTGTGAGAGGTGAAAAACTTGTCATATTTGTTTGTCTCTGTTGTGTCAGTCTGACTTTAAGGCTAACACCTGTTTGAATGAATCTGTTAGCTAGTTAAGTGATCCTGCTTGAGACAGGATGCAGTATCTATATAGAGATCTGTTTTGGAAATTCAGCAGAGAAATAAATGATTGACTAAATATGCAAAGTACTTTACCCCTTGTGCTTTTCTTGTCCCCAGTGCCTCATGTGCATATATGTGTATCATACATATGCAGGCACAGATAAAGGTCTTTATCTCTTGCTGGCAGCTTGTTGAGATTATCATTTTTAGCTGTTGATGTTTAGCTTTTACAGTCCCCATCAACTCTGCAGAACATTTGGTCTTCCTTTATTACGTGGGCCCTAAAGTAAGAACTGCAAGATGGCAGCATCAGTAGCAGAAAACCGCCCTTCCCCTTGTACAAATGGATCTGTTCTTGGGCTGTGCTATAGGAGTGTCTTTTTTTTCCTCTCATCATTTGTGTTTTTAATTCTTATTTTTCCCATCCTTACCTATCTTTTGCTTGTGCATACTACACCTGCATGAGCTGGTTTGGTCTTTTATGGTTCCATGATGTTTGATTTCAGCTCTGTGACAGGGATTCAAGTTACAGTTAATTGGCTTCAGGACATTTCATTCTGCTGAAGATCCCTGCTGTGACAAGGCAGCATTTTAAGCCTGTTGGATGCTTAGAACATTCTTAGGACAATCTCGTTTGTTTCGTACTGGCAATTAAATTGCTACTTATATTGTAGTAATGCTTCAGATTCTCACTCAAGGGTCAGGATTTATTCTTCCAGCACAAAACATGATGTGTGACTACATGATCCCTGACCTTGGTAATGTCCATTCTGCCATATAGAGTGGCATCAGTATGTCTTTATCTTCACCAGAAATACATGGGCTGTAATACCATCTGTATGTTAGCTTTCTGTGTGCGTGCCGCAAATTTGTGGCACTTAATAATTTGTAACACTTTCTGTGTTTTAGTTGGTGACTTTTCTACCTTGTGGCATCAGTTCTCCTTATTCTCTAAGTGTGTGACTGTTTTGTGTGGTTGACTCCATTACCCCTTTTCTGTCACTCTGTTTCTCAATACTGTGTGGTTATTTCATTCTTTAATTTCTTTCTCCTGTACTGACAGTGCCTCTCAAACTTTAAGCTGCAGCAAACATCTTTAGGACATTGCATTAAACACACATGCATGCATACATATTTTATGCGTGCATGTACCTGCATGGGCACATGTGCATGGGATTACATGGTAGGTTTTCTTAAAAGAAACCATATAAGGAAGAAATTCTTTACTGTGAGGGTGTTGAGGCACTGGAATGGGTTCTCCAAGGAAGTTGCGAATGCTCCATCCCTGGCAGTGTTCAAGGCCAGGCTGGACAGAGCCTTGGGTGACATGGTTTAGTGTGAGGTGTCCCTGCCCATGGCAGGGGGGTTGGAACTGGATGATCTTAAGGTCCTTTCCAACCGAAACCATTCTATGATTCTATATCACAAGTGGCAGTTTAACCCCAGACCGATTCATGAGGAATTGTCCCAGTGTCTGTCTTCCATATGGGTGCTCATCTTCTCATCTGTTGTGTTTAGCTAGACTACTAATTACAGTTTCATCTGTGTTCGTTCCCCACGTTTTCAGCTCAATTTCTTTTCCTGTATGCCTTAATGAATACTTCCAGAAACTCTGACAGTTTCCTTTTGTATAAAGAATCAGTTTCCTTAAGAAAGATATATGTAACCTCACTGACTTTAGGTAAATATTCAAACTGTGTTTCCAATTTGGAATAAAAAACAAAGAAACCCAACCCAGAGTTAAAGCTACTTGGACAAAACAAATAAGATAGCACAAGAGAATGGGCAGAAATATAATAAGAACTTGAAGATCTAAAAGCAGATTGTCCTTTCCACTGTCCTTTCTCACCATGCTGATTTTGACACATTCGATTTCTTTTATTTTAATACTTCAGACTGTGTCAGTTGGGTTGAGCAGCCAGGGTGTGGAATACACAATGCCCATCTGCCTTCCTGGGGAAACCAAGATAGGCAGGATGTGGAGATGTACTTCAGATGATAATTGTCATGTCGCTAGGAAATGCAGTGCTTGAAACAATACCGTTTCTGATCGGTTGCAAAGAAATATTCTAGAAGGCAGGAAATGGATAGAAACTGCTTTTATCAGCTTCCTTGCGACCTGCATGCTTTTAGAGGGAATTAAATGTGGAAAGATGGACCTGTTTAACCAGCTTTTATCATCTGCCTGAAAAGGTGCTATAGGTGTTAAAGGTGGTAGGTTGTACTGTACCTCATTTTACTTAGATCAGCTGTTCTGCTCAGGACTTGTGAGCTGGTGGATGGAGGAAGGAAGGAAACTGTCTTTGCTTTTAATTTTTTTTTTTTTTTTTGCTTCGGGTTTTTTTAGTTGTAGGATTAATGCCATTAAAGGGGAACAAAAGCAATGTCATCTGCTCAGTTAGAAAAACAGCAGCTTAATGAAATGTCTCTGAGGTGCTCAGGGATGCTATATGATGAACCATTTCAGTCATCATGCACATGATTTGCGAGGTACAGCTTTACCATAACTGTCGGTGCTTGGAAGCAAACCCGGGGGATTTTCTTCCCAGTGTGAAGGCTGTTTCTGATTTTTCCCCATTTTCTGCAGGGGGGATGCTTTTAGTTGAAGCCACGTCATTAGTAAATGAGAGCTACTGCAGGCAGCAGCCAAAGTGGCTTACATTTGCTTCCACACATACAGAGGCAGTACAAGAAATGGTGGCATCTTTGCCTGCAGTGAGACTATGGGTTTTAAAGGCTGAATAACCTGGGGAATGTCTGGGTCATTTTATGATCAGCAGGGAGTTAGATTGCTGTGCTCTATCAGCTGCTCCCTCGAGTATGTTACAACTTTCTGGAAGAATAAAGATTGAGTTTAAAAGATGAAGAAGGAGAAATCAAAGGAGATTTCCATGCTGTCACTGTTCTCATAAACAGAAAGAAACTTTGAATCTGTGGCTGAGATAGCAAATACACCTTTGATTTATATGCATGAGCTTCATTAATTTTCAGTGGAGACATGTTGTGCAGTCGTGAACTTAGATTTATCAAAAGGAAGCAGAGTTAAGAGAAG